TTTAAGACAACACCAAACTCTAATGTTTTAACTTCAGAAAAGTTCATAAATAATAATATTTGGTGGAAAAACAATGATTCTTTCTTCACAACACATTAAAACATTTGTTATTTTGATCAGTTGTCAAAACCCCTCTCTTTTTTTTACACAATTCCACTGGATACAGGACTGCTCTAAAATTGTCATGTTTGGTTTCCACTCTAAAGATATAAATAAAATTGAAGTAAAATATTACTCTATCACAAATTATTTAAAAAAACTATTTATTTACATTAAAAAATGTAAAAATAAGTGTTTTTTTCTTTACACATTGAGTCAAGAGTCATATTAAAATCCGCTGGGACCACAAACAGGGATTATGTTCTGAAATCTGACATTATAAATGTTAAAGTACTGGCACTCTTGCTCATTGTATTAATATAATCACTGAAGGGTTCATAATTATGTTTCAGTGTATTACGGTACTGTAGCGATGACGTCATGTTGTTTACGTGCTTTACGTCACCACGTTGTACTGTTGTTGTACGGAAGTTTTACCGTCTCGTGTTCATGCTGTACAGAGAGAGCATGTAAAAGTGAGTAATAAAAGACGCTGATAAAAACGAGTCGTTCTGTTTAGTGCTTAAGCTACGCACTCCAAGCTCAACAGGTTATGGGCCCAGGCAGCGAGACAAACGATCGTTTTTGAGAAAGTAAGGTTAACGCGACGTATTACGCGTGCAAAGATGGTAAGCCGAGCGGGAGGATACCTAGCGCCGCAGTTTCTATTCGATGGATCAGAAGAAAAATTCGATCTATGGGAGACAAGATTCCTGGGACACTTACACACTCTAAAGTTAAAAGAAACTATATTACATCAGCCTACGGATGCTGAAGCCGAACAAATAGCCGAGGACAGACGGAAGAACGCTGATTGCTATGCCGAACTGATCAGACTGATCGATGATAAAAGCCTATCACTGGTAAGACACGATGCTGCCGATGACGGAAGAAAAGCCCTTAAGATACTGAAAGAGCATTATTCAGGCAAAAGTAAACCACGCATAATTAACATGTACACAGCATTGACTCAACTTCACATGAGTGACAACGAGAGCGTCACAGACTATTTAATACGAGCAGAAAACAACATTACAGCTCTAAGGGAGGCTGGAGAATTAATGAGTGATGGACTGACGATAGCGATGGTTCTCCGAGGGCTACCGGATTCATTCAAGCCACTAGCCGTCCACATAACACAAAATGAAGACGATGTCACATTTACAGATTTTAAAAGGAGACTCCGAGTTTATGAGGAGACAGAGAAAATGAAAGTTGCAACTACAGACAATGTAATGAAGACCTGCACGAGACAAGGGCAAGGCTTCAACAAACCACACACAAGAGACAGAAAAGATGAAGATATAAATATAATATGCTACAAATGTGGAATAAAAGGGCACAGGGCCCGGAAATGCTACAAAAGAGTGTGGTGTAATCACTGTAAAAATAGCACACATGCTGAATTCTTGTGCAAGAAAAAGACTGACCGAGATGGTGTCCGAAAATTTAAAGATGAATGTGACAGTGACCAGGATCATCTATTTAAAGTTAAAAACTTAGAATATGAGAATATGTCACCCAACATAAATGAGAAAGGCATTATGGTAGATGCAGGAGCGACATCACACATTGTGAATGACATAAGAAAGTTTAAAGATTTTGACAGCTCTTTCCGACCACAGACTCACTCAGTAGAGCTAGCTGACGGAACAAGGTGCAACGGGATAGCACAGCAGAGGGGAACGGCTGTAATTCACTTTTTAGATGAAAGCGGACACCAACACAGAGCACAACTAAGGGATGCACTATATATGCCTTCCTATCCACATGATATTTTCTCTGTAGCAAGAGCAACAAATGGCGGAGCAACAGTCATCTTTAAAAGAGGAAACAGCCGTATGATCACCAAAGATGGTAACAAATTTAATATTCATGAGACTGGAAATTTGTACTATTTGCCGACTGTAGAAGAAAATGCTGACCAGTGCAAAGTGTGCCATGATCTACAAACTTGGCATGAAATTTTGGGTCATTGCAACTACGAGGATGTTCGGAAATTACAAGATGTAGTAAGAGGCATGAATATAAAAGGAGATACAGCTAAGAAAAACTGGCTATGTGAAATATGCACAAAAGGAAAATTCACACAGACAAGGAGCAGAGAGCCGGACAGAAGGGCAGAGAAACCTTTAGAGTTGATTCACACAGATTTGACTGGTCCTATGCCGACACAGAGCAGAGAAGGACACAAATATGCACAATCTTTCATAGATGACTACTCTGGGACTATATTAGTCTACTTTCTGAAATCTAAATCAGATACAGTACAAGCCACAGAAAAGTTTTTGGCAGACATCGCACCTTATGGAGATGTCAAGTGCATTCGTTCTGATAATGGCACTGAATTTACGTGTCGTGATTTTCAGACACTTCTGATGAAGAATAAGATCAGACATGAAACGTCCGCACCGTATTCACCTCACCAGAACGGTACAGCAGAGAGAGGTTGGAGAACACTCTCTGACATGACCAGATGTTTATTAATTGAAAGCAAACTGCCAGAGGAGTTATGGAACTATGCGATGCAGACATCAGCTTACGTGAGGAACAGGTGCTACTGTAGTCGTACAAAGAAGACGCCATATGAGTTATTCACAGGCAGAAAGCCAGATGTTTCCAAGCTGCAGAAGTTTGGATCAACATGTTTTGCTTACAAACAAGAAAAAGGCAAACTTGACTCGAGATGTGAAGAGGGAGTTTTCATTGGGTATGACAAAAACAGTCCAGCGTATCTAGTGTACTACCCCAACACAAGAAAGATCCAAAAACAAAGGTTAGTGAAATTCAAAATCAGACTAATGAGAGAAAAAGAAACACAAACATCTGAGACAAGTACAGAATTTGAGATTATAAGTCCTAAGATCAGCAGTGAGGGAAAAGATGAAGGAGATCTTCAGGATAAACCAGCTCAGGAGATTCAGAGCGACACTTCAGAGACTTTATCTGAACAGACTGAACATACACAGCCAGATAAAACTACTGAGACTGCAATGAGAAAGAACCCTACACGAGTGCGGAGAAAACCAGCTCATTTACAGGACTTTGAGACTGACAATCAAGAGGACAAGTTGCAAACATGCATCGACTCCTGTTATAGAGTAATATGTGACGTACCACAAAACTATCAGGAGGCTATAACATCCACAAACTCAATGCATTGGAGGAATGCAATGGACAAAGAGATGAAATCTCTTAAAGAGAACCAGACTTTTACACTCACTCAGTTGCCACAAGGAAAACAACCAGTTGGAGGCAGATGGGTTTACACACTGAAAAGAGACACTGATGGATCAGAAAAGTACAAGGCAAGATTCGTTGCAAAAGGATACAATCAGAAACCAGGGACTGATTATGATGAGACATTCTCTCCTACAGCCGATATGACAAGTGTGCGAGTGGTAATGCAAAAATCAGCGCAAGAAAACCTGATCTTGCACCAGATGGACGTTGAAACTGCTTATTTGCATGCACCAATCGACCATGAAGTTTATGTAGAACAGCCAGAAGGTTATGAACAAGAATCTGAAACAGGTGAAAAGATTGTATGTAAGCTAGAAAAATCTCTGTATGGTCTGAAACAATCTGGTAGAAACTGGAATGCTGTATTACATGAATGTTTGACTGAGAATGGGTTTATGCAAAATCCAGCTGATAACTGTGTATATACACGAGAAAAGCCCAATGAGAAAGTAATCCTAATTGTATGGGTGGATGACCTAATAATAGCAGCTAGCAGTGAAAGCATTCTAGAGAGTGTGAAAGGGATGCTCACTGAGAGGTTCAAAATGAAAGACATGGGAAGATTGAAACATTTCCTGGGTATAGATTTTGAACAAACTGAAGGTCTAGTCAAAATGTCACAGGAGAAATATGTTAACAAAATTCTGGAACGTTTTGAGATGCAAAACTGCAAATCTAGGGAAACCCCATGCGAACTAAAACTTGATTTTTCAGAAGATGCTGAAAAGATGAAAGACAAAAGAAAATTTAGAGAGGCAGTGGGAAGTTTAATTTACTTATCCACATGCACACGACCTGATTTGAGTTTTGTTGTCAGTAAACTTTCCCAAAATTTTGCTGAACCAACAGAACAGCACTGGAACACAGTAAAACATGTGTTCAGATACCTAAAAGGTACAACAAAACATGAGCTATCTTTCAGGAAAAATGACACAGAGAAACTAGGTCTGAAAGTATACAGTGATGCTGATTGGGCATCAGACACACAAGACAGACGTAGTACATCAGGATATTGTGTCAGTCTTAGTGAGGAAAGTTCTTTGATTTCCTGGAAAACAAGAAAACAATCAACGGTTGCATTGTCAACTTGTGAAGCAGAGTACATGTCCTTAGCATCAGCTATACAGGAATGTATCTACCTGAAACAGTTACTCAGAAATATGGACAGGTATCAATATGCACCAACCAAAGTGTATGAGGACAACCAGGGTACCATAGCACTTGCAAGAAACCCAGTCTGTAGACAAAGATGCAAACACATTGATATCAAGTATCATTTCATAAGGGAAACTGTAAATGATGGTAAAGTAATCTTGGAATATTGTCCCACTGAGGAAATGATTGCTGATATCATGACAAAGCCAGCCACTAAGCAGAAACTAAAGAGGTTTTATAGGTATATTTTTGATACTTGAAGAGTAAATTTTTGTTTACATTATTGATGTAAAAGGAAAAGCCTTATTTGATTTGTTATCTATTTTGAGTGATACAATAAGCTACGAGCGAGTGGGGGTGTTAAAGTACTGGCACTCTTGCTCATTGTATTAATATAATCACTGAAGGGTTCATAATTATGTTTCAGTGTATTACGGTACTGTAGCGATGACGTCATGTTGTTTACGTGCTTTACGTCACCACGTTGTACTGTTGTTGTACGGAAGTTTTACCGTCTCGTGTTCATGCTGTACAGAGAGAGCATGTAAAAGTGAGTAATAAAAGACGCTGATAAAAACGAGTCGTTCTGTTTAGTGCTTAAGCTACGCACTCCAAGCTCAACAATAAAGTCTTTCATATTCAAAATCTGTGGTGAATATTTGATCTTTTCATATTCTCTTTCTCTGCTGTTTTCTCTCCAAAAAGCGAGCACGAGCTTCTGTAATTGAGCTTTCATCGTTTCTCTTCTCCAGCTTCTTTGCTGCATCCTCTCTGGCCTCTATTTAAACAAACAAAAAAAGTATTACAAAAAAACAAGATGGAATCTGACATAGCTCAGCATCTTCAAACGCACCTGCTTGTCTTTTTGCTGCCTCTTTCTTTTCCCACTGGACCATCTCTTCATCCGTTACTTCTTCTCTAGCAACGCTACTCAGCTCATAGACATCAATTTCATGCAGTTTTGGCAGCAGGTCTTTCACCCAGTCATAACGGATGGGGCAAACGGTTCTCACGTACACCCGTGAGGTCACCAACACGTCATGAAAAATGATCCAATCCAGCTGCAATTCTTGACCGAAGAGCTGAATAAAAGATGTATAAATTAAAATGGGTTTGGAACATTCTGAATGAACTTTAGATTGCGTTTAAAGGAACAGTTTGATAAAAAAACATACAGTCATTATTTTCTAGCTCTAGAATTCAATCTTGTATGCCTTTAATAAGGCTGTCTGTTTAATTAACACATTGACTTAAGGTAGCATGAAACATTGTATAACCTCATAAAACACGAAACCATAACTGACCACATTTGATATGTCTTAGGTTGCACAGGTATATTTTTGGCAATAGCCAAAATACATTGTATGGTTCAAAATTCTAGATTTAAAAAAAAATCATTATAGTAATAAGTAAAGCTCATGTTCCATAAAGATATTTTGTAAATTACCTACACTAAAAATATCAGAATTCAATTTGTGATTAGTAATATGCTAATCACTCTAATTAGAAGCTTTAAAGTCTGCATGAACCGGACACTGCGTTTTTTTCTTTTTCATATTGTGACAGTTCCAAGAGAAACAGAATACTGAAGTTGAAATGAAATCAAAACTAACCATATGATTAAGTCAGCTCAAATTCATAGTTTTGTGGTGAGCAATTCATCTGTGCATGTCATTAAGAAGTAAAAATAAGTTTGCCCTTGTAATCTAAAAATGCTCTACCTGGGGTTTTTTTCAGTTAAATTGTCAGATTACGTCTGTTTGAGGTATTGGGCGTGGCTAACATACGTAACCACGCCCATCTGTCAGTTTTGACAAGAAACAGAAATAGTGAAGAAACGGTGTCTATTAGGTTGTAATAACTCTTCCAAAACACTTTTCTTGATCTTTCTGAATGAAACGCCTACTTTACTACATCCAATCAGCTAGAAAAATAACAAGCCATGTCCACTGTTTTCGCAATTAATATTTGTTTCTTTAGGAACTGCGTCACAATTTTAAATAAGTCACAACTTTCAGTTCATATTCAGATGTCAATTAAAGATTACAAAGGCAAACATTTTTTTTCTTAATGACCTGCACAGGTGAATTGTTCACCACAAAACTAGCAATATGAGCTAAGTCAATATCTTAGTTTAGTTTTAATTTCATGTCTATTTTAATACTTTATACTATTGTTAAGATTTTGTTTCTGTTTATATAGTTGTATCTCAGCCAAATATTGTCCTAACCTAACAAAGTGTTCATTAGAAAACTTATTTATTCAGCTTCCATGGGATATTCATTTTCCCTGAAACACAAATCCAGGCATAAATTTCAATTTCCAAAAACTGACACTTACAGTTGAAACCAGAAGTTTACATACACTGTATAAAAAGGCACATAACCATTAAAAAATTCAGATATTAACTTTTTCTCTTTTAGGTAAGTGAGGATTATCAAATTAGTTTCTGTTATGCTTAGTAGCAGAATAATGAGATTCTTTTTTTGAAAAAAATTGTTATAACTTTTTTTGAAGAACAAGTTTATAAGATTATTATGCCTCTGAAAAAGCTCAGATGATGTTGTCAAGGTTTCCGATTGGCTAATTGACAACACTTGTTTAGTCAATAGTATTTAAGGAAACCTCAAACACACTGCTTCCTTTTGTGACAACATAGAAAAATCAACAAGCCAGAATAAAAAAAAGCCTGATAACTATTTGATAAATTACACTGGGAGATAGAAACATTTTTGAAGACATGTCCTGTGGTCTAATGGAATTAAGATTGAACTGTTTGGCCATTATGACCACTATCCCAACTGTGAAGTATAGGGGCGGCAGCATCATGTTGTGGGGCTGGTTTGCTGCAGGAGGGACTGGTCCACTTCACAGCATAGATGCCATCATGAAGAAAGAACATTATGTAGAAATACTGAAGCAAAATCTCAAGACATCTGCCAGGAAATTAAAACTTGGCCACAAATGGGTCTTCCAAACAGACCATGACCCTAAGCATACTGCCAAATTAGTTAAAACGTGCTTTAAGGACAACAGAGTGAATGTTTCGAAGTGGCCATCACAAAGCCTTGATTTCCATCCTATCGAAAATTTGTGGGCAAAGTTGAAAAAGCTTGTGCGAGCAAGACACAAATCTGACTCAGTTACACCAGTTCTGTCAGGAGGAACGGGCCAAAATTCCTTCAAACGTTTGTAAGAAGCTGTGGAAGGATACCCAAAACATTAGACCAAAAGCAAAGTTTACAGCTAAAAGGAAAGCAAAAAAAAATACTAAAAAAATGTATGTAAACTTCTGGTTTCAACTGTATAACTGGTTTTGTGTTCCAGCGTCACACACATGATGTTACACTGAATCATTTTATAGTAATTGTGAGTCTTTTTTTTTTAACTGCCGGTTGCTATGAACTGTATGAGTAACTGTATTGTACGTACAAACGTACAAGCAGTACATTTTTGATACATTTCTTCATAATTTCATAAAGTGAAGAAGAAGGGCATACAGCTTTAAAAAAAGAATGCAAAATGAGTAAATGATTTGGATTTTTTTATAAGACCATTAAGAATTGTTTTAATTCCTCACACATGATGAAGGATGAATGAGAACACTGGACCCATGTCCATCCATGGTACAGAACGATTTCCCAATAGATCTGAGGAAAACAGAAACATCAGCTTTTAACATCAGCTTTGATAAATTCAGTTCATGTACTGTAATGACAGCATGACACTCACCTCCTGGCTACATTGGTGAAATAGCCCAAACAAAGGCACTGTCGCAGAAGTTCACTTCTACTACCCTCAAATCTCTCATGTGGAAAGTCCTTCTGCTACACAGAGAGTCAACAACAACAATGCAAATTCAAATACAATTGAAGCAAATATTAGAGGTGCAATGATGAATATATTTGTACCAAAGACTTTGGGCCCATATCTAGTTCTACCTCTTAGCCCTTCTTGATTCTCTTTTGGATGAAGGTGTAGGTCAGGCATGTCCAAACTCGGTCCTGGAGAGCCAGTGTCCCGCAAAGTTTAGTTCCAACACCAATCAGACACACCTGGGCTAGCTAATCAAGCTCTTACTAGGGCTGGTCTGAAACGGCATACTTCCATACTATACAGTACGCTATGCGAGTCGAGTATGCGAGTCGAGTAATATGTCCGAATTCATAGAATTCGAAAATCAGTATGCGAGAAGTACCCGGATGACTTACTACTTCCGGCGAGATTTTGGAGTGCGCATCGCATGCACGCTTCGCTATTGCAAGATATAGAGAGAATTCATGAATGGAAGTGAAGCGACGCAACTGACGCAGGTAGGTCGTGACCATGATAAAATGGTGGATGTAGTACGTCCAAATTCCATTCATACTTTTCACATTCATTCAACATAGAACATACTTTTCTAACGGCCGAGTAGTACGTTAAATTCATATGCAGTACCTACTGAGTAGTAGGGCATTTCGGACGCAGCCTAGGCTTTTTTATAAACATACTTGCAGGTGTGTTGAGGCAAGTTGGAGCTAAAATCTGCACGACACCAGCCCTTTAGGACCGAGTTTGGACACCCCAGTTGTAGCTAAACTGCCAGATAGCCCATCAAACTAAGATTTCTCAGGACCACTCTACAAATAAAGAGGTATGAGAGGTTTACCTGAATAATACAGTTGCAACATGGCTGCTCAAACAATCAGGGAGACCAAGGATTTTGATAACAAACAAGGATCTGATTTATTCATAAATGGGAGTTAGGGACATACTTTTGAAAGAAAAAAATGTTAATAAACGTCCCTAAATAATTGCTGCACGAAATATCGTAAATTTTGATAACAGATCACTAAGAAAAGTCTACCGACTGGAAATTTGTTTTTACAGCACATCTGGTGTAATGCCAATGTTGTTTTCTTGTGGTTACAGCACATCCATGAATATGAGCAGTGAACACTGTGTAAATAAATACAAAGTGCAGCTTTGTGCTTTTTGCAACATGATCCACCAGTTGTACTCAGGACAGCTAAGAAAACCTGGAAGGCTCATACTTTAGAGCTGAAAATGAACAAATACATGTCTAAATACAGTGCAAAGCAACTTTGGAAGTGAGTAATCTGTTAAACGTTACTGTGCATGCATCATTTGGACTAAATACTGCACCTCAGACAACATAGTCACATCTCATATGAGCTTGTCATTTTAACCACTGCACATGTTGATGTAAATTAGAGACATCTACTTTTATATAATTTAATTTAAATGAATCTGTATTAGGGATGTCAATTTTTCACAAAATCCTGTGATCAATGATCATTTAAATTAACGATTAATCGTTAATCACCACTCTATCATAAACACATTAGATAAGGTTTTGAATGATTTGATATATTCAACTTACAATCCACTCAAGCCGTTTCCATTCAGTGATTTACAGTTATTAATAGCTTAGTTTTATTAAACAGTCCCTTAATAAAATATCCCAACATAATTTTACGATAAAGAATAAACCGAATATGCAATATGATCCCTGTCATAATGATCACAGGGTAATAAGCTAAGCGTTTCTTTTATATAAACTATGAATGTAAAAAAATAAGACATTTTAAGCAAAAAAAACAAAACATTGAAACTAGAATATAATAGGCTACAGGCTACAGTCTAAGTTAATTAAAGGTGTCTAGTCAAAGCTGAACATCACTGCGGTCACCGCAGGCACGTGTTTTTAAAACTTCATAAAAGAACAGACCAGTAGCTTACATGACAGACCACACAAACACTTGTGACTTGGTGTCAACTAGGCTACATTTTTTAAGGGCATTTGTTACGGCATTGATTGGATCTGTTATAGTCAAACTTACGTTTCCTTTTTAATATGAAGATTTTCCTTTGAAATCTGTTATACCACTATTGTTCCTAATTACCGCTAAAATAACCAGCCTTTGTATTTAATGTATTTTAATGTATATTTTCCTACCAGGCAAACTAAGTTGTGGCCAGATTGACTTCTTAAACACTCCCTCGCTCGAGGAAAAATCATATGCGCAAGTTATAATTTTTTAATTAATGACTTATATTTTAAAAATAGCAAATATATGACAGAGGTTTGAGAGAGGTAACAATTACAGTGGAGCATTACCGGTAATTAAATCTTTATTTTCCACAGACAAGTCATCCACCTGCACAAAAATATGCACTTCATATATTTTCATTAGAAAAATGATCTTTTTGAAACAAATTTTGTTTGGTATAATCTTCATTTTAAAGTATTTTTGTTGATCAGTTATCTACAAAATAAACAAGAAGAATGAATTTATTTTTTCATTTGAGGTGAAGTGCTTCAAAACAAGGTTCGCTATGTTTCAGCACCAAAACACAAACTGTTTTGTTAAATAAATAGAATAATAATATAATTAAAATTGAAGTGACATATTCACAGTTTCTGAAAAGCCTATATTAAACTGTTTTCACTGTTAAAGACAAATACATTCATTGCTCCGGTCAGTTTCAATTTAATTTGTTTAATCTTTGTAATCTTTAATCTTTGTAATCTGAATGGCTGTGCAAGTGATACACAGCACTGAATATGTTCCCAGATTACCTCAAATTGTGAGATTGCAGAAGCTCACGCATGTCTGGCTGTGACACCGTTATTTTTAAATGAAAGTCTAAATATTTGTGCCAGTCTGTCAAGATAAAATAGCTTAAAACACCTTAATATTTTAGAGAAAGTAGTTAAAAGTTTATATAACCAATAAATGATCAAATACACCCATGACCCACCCATAATTAAATGCAAGCAGCCTATTTTTGATTACCTGACCTGCGGAACAACAGCAGCACCCGACTCCATAAGGGTGATGTAAACTGCACATACTTGATTATGTAATGTGTAAAGTTGTGGACGCGCGTCTTACAGTGCAAAGCATAACTTATCCTTTAAATGTCCATGCTTAATCGATCATTGATAAGGTCTATCGATTAGAAGGGTTATCAACAATCAATTGATCATCGAGTAATCGTTAGCATCCTTAATCTGTATTGATTCCTAAAACCCAAGAACTATGCGACTGTTATTGTAACCACAAAACGACGTCGGCAAAACAGCTTGGAGTTTACAGCGTTAGGCGGGATAAATTAAAAACTTAATATTTTTTTTGTGTTTGTTTGTTTACTTGCTTGCTTAACTTACTAACACCATGCAGTAGTGGAAAGAGTACTGAAAAATCATACTTAAGTAAAGGTACAGTTACTTGCCCAAAAATGTATAATAGGAACAGTAAAAGTGTTGTGAATATTACTCAAAGTATGAGTAAAAAGTAGCCCTTTTTAACAGACTTAAGGGTAGTGAGTATTACACTGAAAGTCTGATACGTTTACATGCAGTTTGTGCATGTGTTTGAAAACGTAACATTCTGTAGTGATTATTTAAGGCCATTTCAGTCATCATACAGTAAACATCCTTCATCTTTTTATCTGTGACATGAGGTCTAAACAATCTCTGGGTCATTGCGTGCAACAATTTTGGACATCTTCTTGGACACTTTTAATGCTTCCAAATGGTTTGCTGCATTTATAAAGTGCCTATGTCTTGAGGTAGTTCAGTATGATGCAATTTAGTTTCTATGTGTGATTTGATTGAACAGGAATCACAGGACTGATTTTTCTACTTTAGCTAATCCCCTTAAACAATTAAAAATAAAGTAGTGACTGCGGACTGAAGGAAATAGTGAAGTAAATGTACCGATACAGCGCTAAAAATTTACTCAAGGGAAAGTAAAAGTACTAATTTTTAAAACTACTTAGTAAATTACAATTCCTGAGAAACACTACTCAATTGTTGTGTAGTGTTACACCTCTAGCACACAATATTGTAGAGAAACTCTGAATGACCTGCTTGAGGCGCAGAAGAATCTCCCTCAGCTGAGTCTCCACACTGAAGGCTGATTTCACCGCTCGCCAGTGGATCCAGTTCTCTTTACACCAGGCTGAGGGATTTTCACTATAAGAAGGATGAAACACAGAATGACCACCAACATTTCACAAAGAGGTCTGGATTACATTTAGTCAGTGGGTCTAAATTCATCACCTCGCTCTGCATTTCTCGAAGACACAGAGCAGCATGAGGAAGTCATTGGAGCCGCCAGAACAAGCTGCTATTTCTTTGTGTCTGACCTCTGCTTCCTTTTGTTTTTCTGGTTTACCTAAAAAGCACAATGTTTGCTTTATCTGATGAACAGGTTTCACCAAGTCAAATTTAAGACGTTTAAAGACCTTTTAAAGACCATTATGAATAAAATTTTAGACTTTTAGTAGACAAAAAAATAGATTTTTTTTTTGTAATGGCCAGTGGCCATTTTTAAATTTGGTCATTTCTTAGCCACATATTTTAAATAACGAATCGAAACATAGTTATATATATATATTTAAAATATATTTATATATATATATATATATATATATATATATATATATATATATATATATATATATATATATATATATATATATATATATATATATTAGTTTAAAAAACTGTTTAAAAAAAGGACATTTTGAATGCTGACAAAGAAATCTGAAATAATGCTTGATTTTAAACAGAGCATTGTCGAAACATTCACAGAACATATTTTAGTGTTTTGCTCTGGGCACTTCAATGACTATTCTTGCTAGAAATCTCTCAAAATATTAAACATACGAGTGTTAATACTTGTTTCAGTTTGCTTAGAGAACAAATTGTTCTTTTAAAAGACTAAACCGTCAGACAAAGGGACATTTTATGAATTTATTAGGAGTGTTTGCTCTTCGATGTTTGATTATATACTTTTTTATAATTTTTTATTATTACCATAGATCTTAATAACTATAACAAACTAAATTTATTTACAACAAAACACTTATGCATATATACATGGAGAACTTTTAAACAAATGTTATTGTAAGGATGTAAGGAAGATAATTAAACCATAATGTTATATAAAGTTCATCAATTTTTTTTGTTAAACATTTGTTTTTAGAGTGATTGTTGGTTGTAGAGATTGGGAAGCTTTATATATACAAAGAAAATTGAAGATCTGTTTAAAAGTATTTAAGACATACAACATTATATTTCAGTGAATTTAGGACTTTTTAAGGCCTAAATTTTAGCTTTGGACTTTAGGACACCATGGACATTCTGAAAAAAAAGCCATGTTTGTAATGCTTCGAGGAAATTTATTTCATCCATATTAGAATGTGGAAATCCAGAAATCTAATGGTTTTGTCACTAACACTGAAATAATATATTTCAAACAAACAAAACAAACAATGTGAACTGTCTCATTAATTTAGCTTCTTATTAATAAATGTCAATGTTTGTCAAATTTAAAGAAATAAATCACCTAAAACCTGAATAAATGAGCTTTCAATATAACTGTTGATTTGTAGGATTGGAAAATGATTGGCCGATCTAAAATAAATCTCAAAATTTAAATATTGAGACAATTAAGTTCTTAGCAATGCATTTTATGTATCAGAAGTTAATTGCTAAGTTTTATGTGTTTTGATAGGAAATTTAAATCCATGCAAAAATAAAATAACAATTACCAGAGTAAATATTATTACAGAGAGGAAATTAAAAATGACTAATTGCAGGACTGTTTTGTATAGACTAAATTAAATATATTAGTGAATGTCTGTTGTGATGAATACAAACATGTAAAAAAAAAAAAAACATTTACCATATAGCGGGGAAAAATGTTTTTTTTTTCATAAAGTGAAATTTCATAGTGTGAAATTTTTACATTTTGCCTTTTTATTAGTATTAATTAGTACTGACATTTTGATTAAATGTAACAAGAAAAAAATATTTGATGCCAACCTTAAATTGCAAGCCTTTAGGACAATCTACAGAAATGGCTACCTGGTCGAATGAAGATATTCTCCACTGAGAGCATGGCGGCCACAGGCAGCATTATGTCTTCACAGCCGAGAGCTGCAGCTTTGAGCAGTGCACGAGTAAGATTAGGAGGAAGAGGAAACTCCACCATCAACCTCCCAAGCTTGGTCACTTCACCTCTCCTGTGACAATAATATTAGCTAATATTAGCACTCAATTTATTTAAAGAATCACTCAACCAAAAAAAATACTCTTCAGTAGAACATTAGATAAGACTTTTAGCTGAAGCTATGGCTCTTGGGGATTTATAAAATGCAGATATTGAGGACTAAGAGCACTTTGAGAGTCAAAAATATATAAATAAAGCAAAACTAAATTATACTTTCCTAATAATACATTAAGGGCTTTTGAAGTCTGTGAAAGATCAAGATTAGTCTGTGCAAGAAACTAAACATTACTTTCTACATTATATTATATGAACCACGTCTTTTTTTAACTGATGTGGTTTAAGTCATTATATTTACAAAATGTATGAATTTTACAAATCTCCAAGCACAGTTTCAGCTAAAAATCTTCTTTAATTATCTACTTCACAAAAAAAGTCACCTAAATATTTGTATTTATTTATATTTGTATTTATTTATATGTTGTTATTTATATTACCTAAATGTTATACATGTCTCAACTAAATAAATCAGCACATTTACATATTGGGGCGACCTGTCCTTTGTACAGTTACAGAATGTCAATAACAGCAATACCAGGTTAAAAAGAGGCTTAACTGAAAAGTTAAGCTTAAACTTTAAAAAGAAAAGCTTAAATCTGCTCATATTCTACAGTCTTAGTGGTTACTTCCTATGTACTTACGAAACAGGAGATGGTTTGTGGGTGAAAGGTGCATATCACTCACCTGTCAATAGCGTCATACTGATACAGCTGCTTCAAAGCGGTCAGGATAAACCTTTCCTCTGGACAGTCGAGGTAAGGAAATCTAAACATACCAGAATTGTAAAAAAAAACACAAAGGATGTATCCAAAATTTTCATTACAAAACAACCTAACAACATCCAGCTGAGCGATACCTGATCACATCATGTACACCGAGACATTTCAGTGTGAGAATGACAGACGTAAGACTGGTGCGCTGAATCTCTGGGATGGTGTACTCTGGCATGCATGTATCCCAGAAGTCTTTACTGTAAATCCTGAAACATTTTCCTGCAGCCGTTCGTCCAGCCCTGCCTGCTCTCTGCTGAGCCTCGCTTCTGTAAGAAAATGTCAGCTTCCTTTAGAATTAAATATAAAAGACAAACCCAGTGGGATTATATTCTTTTGTTGGAACAAACTAACAAATTCCACACCAGACAGCTTTTTGAAAAGTAGCAAACAGTTAATCTATAAAAGAGTCGACTCAGTGGTTTAAATTAATTGTCTTGGTAACAAATCTTTAGCCATGTCGGCGTGACGTCAATACAGAACTCAAGCCCCGCCCATTTGTTGCATGCGTAGACCCAGGAAAATTTAAACCCCCGGCCCCGCCCACAAACATTGTTAAAGAAAAAGAGGAAGACAAACAATGTAGCAGATCCCGGCTGTTACAAGTCGCATAGTCGCTGTGCTCTGAAGTGTGAGGGAAAGTTAGTGTTATTTTCCCAACCCAAAGATGAGGCTGTGACGAGTCAGTGGTTGCAGTTTACTTTTGCAAAACACATGAGCATTATAACCCAGCCTGTGCTGTGTTCCCTTCATTTTTCTGACGGGTGCTTCAGCAATCTACATGCTTACAACGGGGGATTCGTCAGCCGTTTGTTAAAGGAAGAATCAGAAAAGACTTTGCAGAGCTTGACAGGAACTTTACAGTACACAGTTCATAGACCAGTTTCTTCTTCCATTTCCCAAGTGTAAGTAAGTGAGATTAAAATGGCTGCTTCCTTGTTTTCTCTAACTTGCAAATTATGTATTAAATTGTGTTTTGTTATGTGTAATCGCTTGTACTGTATCTGGTCAACTCTTTATATTATCATATCACATCTAAAGGGACATTAAAACCCGACGCGTGCTGCTTTTTTTACAGATTTAAACGTGTTTGTGTTTGTTCCTACACACGTGCGGTGGTCAAGCTTCAAAATAGTTCAGCTTTTGCCACTGTTCGGGTTAATACTAAATGTGTCTCATGGTTAAGAATAGAGCAATATGCTGGTGTTAAACTGCATTGCTTTAATGCACTCCTGCATTGGGCTCACGCATACACTCTGCACTCTGACTACTTCAAAATTGTTGATA